TTCCAAGAACAGGATGGGGATGCTTGCTCCCACAAAATGTTGACAGAGACGATAATGATAATTTTTTCAAAGTATTAAATCTAGGTTGTTTTCCAGGTACTAACATTTATTAAGGTAACTATATTTAAAGAAATAAATCCACATTAGTTTACATATCACATTTGTTAAATGTATCTTCAGTTCATAGACTTGGTAGTAACCAATGTTTTACAGAATATCCTGTGGGCATTTCTCACCTTCCTCCCATGCAGTTGTCTAAACAAATATAGCAGACAAGTGAGACACTAATAGTACAGTACAGTGGCAACTGATGTGTTCTATGATCCTTCCCCAAGCACAGGCAAGTCATCTGATAGGCAGGGTTTGCACAGGTGATGAAGCTCACTGGATAAAGATTCTTCTCAATAACAGAGTATGAATCATATCAATGTCCCACCCACTACTTTGTCCATGTATGAAATGAAAGTTGCAATAACATTTGAGATACTGCAAAGTTGGAAAATATGAGAATTTCCAAACAGCTTTCAAATCACTCCAAAGTGTTTGCAAGGCGCCTGATTAGATACATCAAATTGCTTCAGAGACTTGATTTGCAGATTTGACTGCAAAGCTTGATCTTATCACATCACTTTTCCACTGAAATATCTTGCATGCTTCTCACTCTAAACACACCAGGCTTGCTCTTCATTGGGTCTTTTACAGCCCTGGATTCTGTTTCAGGAGTATTATTTCCATAGATCATTTTTGGAAGACTGTTCCATATTCATGAAAAGCATTAATACAGATCAGGAAGAAGGAAACATTTTGGGATGCAGAATAATTAGAAATTTGGGGAGCTGGCATTCCTTGCAGAAAAAGACCAAACTGAATCCAAGGAGAGATTCCATTGGATTTCCCTTATACTCTTGTCTATGAATATTATACTCCCCTAAAAAGTAGGTTTTTAGATTAGGTTTTTCTTCCTAAATTCTCCTAGGTTTTTCTTCCTTATAAACAGGAAGATCATCTTAGATTTACTGAGAACACAGTAAGGAAGGTAGCTAAATTCTTTCTTCCTTTGTTGGAATCTGAAATCTTTTTTCAGGGAAAAATGGTTGTGCTTGACCAACTTGGAGACTCCCAAGAGAATTAGTGTAAGCTCCCAAATCTCACTTTAACCTAGCTAGTGCATTGTGCAGGTTTAGCCAGAATGTAAGAGTGTGTTTGTGAAGTAATTTGGCATAATCATAAATGAGATTGTGCTTCATGCATATAGCCCCTCTCCTCCTGCCGCATGTTCAGAATAATGTGTGAACCCAGTTGGTAAATTCAAAGGTTATAATTGTAGCTTGGTTGTGCTATGCTATTTGATTTGGCCTGGACTACATTAAGGGTAGGCAGAAGCAATCCAGACATTTGGCCTTACAAATAAATAGCTAAAAACAATAACAACACCAACATCAGTTGTGTAGACTTCCAGAATGGGCAGTATACAAATAAAGTAAATTATATAATGAAATAATAACAAATAATTAAGTACAAAAAGTAACCAACCATCTCCACATTTTATTGACAGTATTTGGTCACAAAACAATGGGTAAATACCCAACTAGTCAAATGGGTGGCATTGCAAATCTACAGAATGAGACTTTGTCTTTTTTATAAAGAACAGAAATAGATGGGTAATTTATAACAGTGTCTGCCTAAAATCTATCTATCAATGGCAGTAGCTTTTTAAGACATTAGTTATTCTGTTTTCTCTGGACAGCAATACATCTGAGGTTGGCTGTACCATACACCAGAGAGGATTGGTAAACAAGGAAACCAAAGTGACAGAACTCTTCTGTTTGTCATGTCATGTGAGATGAACAATTACCTCACTTCTTCAGCCCTTGAAAAAGTTCCCCAGCTTGATCATAGAAGATTGGTCATATTAAACCAACGACTGCACACTATGCCTGTGATTTCTAGAACATTTGGAGGATTGGCATAGTTGAAACTTTCCGTGAAACTGAAGGCTGTAGCATCTTACCCATTTGCTTAGTAGTTATCCTAGATGTTTGTGAAACCACTCTGGAATCAAAGGATTGTGGGACTGTAAACAGAAGATAACCAAGTGACACATTGACCTAAGCCATGTTGTGGTTCTATGGGCTTGCTTAGCATTTTATGTGAATCCTGCTGTTGTGGTTGGCAAACCATGATTTTTAAATTAACAGGTTGTATGAACCCAGCTGGTGATGATTTATTGAATAAGTCAGAGTCAAGTAAACCAGAGTTTTGTATAGTATGCATATCTAGCCAAAGATAAGTGCTGTTTCTTCCTGCAAATCTATAGTTTCAGATTAGCCTAGCAGAATACTCTGCATTTTCTTTGGAGCCATGCTAACACGCACACCAAAAACCTTCGCAAAACCCCCCAAAACACACCACAAGCCTCACCGAACGTCTCCTTGCTACCGCAACCTTGCCCACAGGAAGCCGCAACCGCGTGGCAGCAGGGAAAACGGCCGCGGATCCGGTTCATAAGTCGAGGCGAGTTTGTACCCCGAGGTAAATTTTTCCTGCCGAAGCTGGTCATAACCCGAAACGTTCGTTAGTAGAGGCGTTCATAACCCGAGGTACCACTGTATTTGGCAATTGGGACAAACGGCCCATTTATCTAATGGACTAGAAAATTACTCTCATGCTGCTTTTGTAAGCTTAACAAATTTAATGGCTGAAAATTGAGAAATGAAACTTTTGACTCTGATGCTGAGTACTGTACTTGATTTCATTGCTCTTTGTTTCTTTTCAGAATGTGATCAAAACTTTTGTCCAGTGATATATAGCATTTTAAACCTAGCCATCCTTTTGCTTTTTCTAAGATAATGCAAGATTATATTTAATCATTTGACATAGTATTTCCTCATTTCATCAGCATGCAAACACTCTGCAAATAGTTCATTACATTAAGAAAATTGTCTTTTATCATATTATCACAGATAATGCCCTTTGAACTTCTTATCCATTAAAAGCAATAAACTTTCCAGAGTCTTCACAGTCTTATAAAAAGTAAGACTGGAATATTACTGCTTCTTAACCATCTCTTACATTGCTCAAAAGGCAGGATATGATTTTGCAGAATACAGTCCAAAACTAGTGTTGAAAATCTTACTTTGTACCCAACTTACTTCCTAGCTGATTTATAGGGAAGAACTAATTTAAAATAACCAAGCTCCTGAGGTTACTTCTTTGTTATCCAAGAATACTATCACAGTATGTTTAATTACTAGTGTGTATTGATTTAAGACCCTATACATAAATGTCTGAAATTAGCAAGGGAAAAATAGAAGCTGATTTAAATAAATGACTTTAATTAGATTTTCAATGGATTAATTCATAGAGATAGGCTTTAAACAGGGAAGCTGTTTAAATCTTATACTGTAACTGAATTTACCACAATGGATGTTATTTATGCTAGAAAGGATACTTTAGAGACTTTAACTAAACCAGTCAAGAAATCAATTTTGGCATTTTTTAATTACTGATGTTTAATCTCCCTATTTTTTAATCTAGCAAGTGAGCATGGGATTGTAGCTGGATTAATATGTTAAAATAAGCCATTTGCTTAGATATTTAGTGGCATTTTGTTTTAGAGTGTTCAGTCAATTGGGAACCACTACTGAAAACTCCTTTGGTTTGGTTTTGACCAACTTAGCAACTCTGAGAGGATAATGAGAAAGGCCTCTGTTCTGTCTTTTAAGAATGGGGAAAGTAGATATGACTGAAGCAGGTCTTTCAAATAATGTAAACAAAAGCCTTTAAAGGTGAGCTTCATCCCTTAGAACTAGACTCAGAACTAGACTCGAAAGCAGTGCAGTTTTTTTATTGTTGTTAAATGAGTAGCTTTCTCAGCTACAGTTCTTAGAATCACTTTATGCAGCCTACTTCCCTTTTGAATTTTCAGCGTTGCACTTATATGCATATGCACTCCCATGATAAAAAGATTTGTTTAATGTGTTGTGAGAACCGGTTCGGTTTAGTGGTTAAGGCATCAGGCTAGGAACTGGGAGACTGTGAGCTCTAGTCCCGCCTTCAACATGAAGGGCAACACTGGGCCAGTTGCTCTCTCTCAGCCCTAGGAAGGAGGCAACGGCAAACCACGTCTGAAATCTTGCCAAGAAAACTGCGCGGACTAGGCCAGGCAGGCGCCAGGAGTGAAAGAACTAACTCGAGGTCACACATAGAAGAAAGTGTTGTTCTTCCTGCTAGGATACTCGAAACAGAATTTCTCCACCTATTTCCCTTGGATGGGAAGATGTATGCAGACTTTTTATAGAAGAGAGTCTTCCTTCGTATCATGTTCTTGCTTTTTCTTGTCTGAGCAGGTCAAGGCACCGCAAAGGCGCAGGCACGCAATCTCTTTAATTCTCCATTCTCTGGCTATGGAAACGCCCGGTGTCCCATCCATACCAGTGGGCAGTTTATGATGGGAAATACTGGGACACTGATGTGCTTGTCCCACTCCAGTGTCCTCCTGCCTTCTGAACTCAGTGACAGGTGCGAAGACGCGTGTGCTTCATCCCGATATTTTAAAAGCCACATTCATAAAACGGGACTGAAAACCGAAGAGGTAGAAGCCATTTTGACTTCTTATGCAAATTGCTGTGACGTGGCTGGATGACGCTATAAATCACTAGGGTGGAAGGGCCTTAGCAGCAGCCTTCGATTGTATTGAATAGGGCTGAGGAGACCCCCCAACACACACAGACAGCTGCGTTCATAAAGCATACTAAGCCGTGCTTCCTTTCACCGCAGTTTACAGACATTAGCATACTAGCTGGATTTCCTGGGTCACAACTGTGGCTTTTCAACCACCACGGCGGATTCCTTCCACGCTCCATTCTCACGGTCTCCGGAGGTCTGAAACGCCCTGACGCGCGTCGGAGGCGAGAAGGAGAGCGCGCGCCTGCCCGACGGCCTCCTTGCGGCCTCGAACTACGCATGTCCTCCTTCGCGGGACGGCGCATGCGCGTCTCCGGAAGACGAAGCCCGGGATGCTCCCTGGCGCGGGCGCTGCCTCCTGGCGAGACTGAGAAAGAAGGGGGAGAGCCGTGTGAGGTGAGCGCGTTTGCGCAGTGGCGTCCCGCTCGGTGCTGCCCGAGGGGCTGAAGGTTGGCAACCGCGAGGGCCTGTCCGTCGCCTGAGTCGGCCCACGCGGCGTCGCGGACCCCGGGAGGCCTGGGCTGGCAAGTATCGACGGCCGTCAGGGCTGGCCGAGGAGGGGGCCCCCTCTCCCTTTTCCTTTCGGGGGTCTCTCTCGGATTTCCGCAGCTTGCGGGTTTCCCTGCCCGGGGTCGCTTCGCTTTCCCCCCTCTCGGACCTGAGAGCCGCCCGCCCCTCCCTCCCACTTCGCGTCCTCCCGGTGGGCCTGACTACAAAGCCCATCGCCCACCGCTCGCCGGCCTCTCCACTGGCCGCGGCCCTGGCTGGGCAGCAGGGATGCTGTGGCCCCTCAGGCCGGGCGTGTCCCCTTCTGCCATTGCCGGGTCTGAGACGGGTTCTCCCCAGCGGGGCTGGGCGCATCTTTCATGATCCTTGACCAGCAGCGTATGGTGCATGGGGATGACGGGACGGGGATGACGGGACCAGGACGGGGACCCCTGCTCTAATCTGTTTTCACTCCTGTGCTTTGCAGGAATAATAATATAATCATAATCATCATAATATCATCCCGCCTTTATTTTGTACAACTCAAGGCAGTGCACCTACTTAATGCTCCTGCCTCCTATTTTTCCCACAACAACAACCCTGTGAGGTGGGTTGGGCTGAGAGAAGAGGACTGGCCCCAAGTCACCCCGCCAGCTTTCATGTCTGGATGATGATGATGATGATGATGATGATGATGATGATGATGATGATACCCAATCACCCACAGTGTTTCCATTTCTGTAGAGTCCTTGGTGCTCTCTGAGCTTGGTTGTTTGCTTGCAAATGTTTCATTACCCAACCAGGTAACGTCATCAGTGCTGGCAGTTCAGCCCTGAGCTACTGATATTCTCTTCTATTGGACTTTCCATTTCTTTTCCCCATGCCATTTTCTTATCTTCCTCATATTACACCCAGATCCTTTAAATTTGGAGCCTGTCTTTGCAGTCCAACACTGCTGCACCCCAATCCTTTGTGGAACCCAAGCTTTTCCCTTCTCTTTTTTCTCTCTGGTCCATTACTTTGAAGCTTTCCCCGCTCCTTTTGAAGAAGTTTCCCTTCTCATTCAGCACTGTTGGCAAGCAATTCAGATGTCAGGAGAGAGATGGTCTGTTACACTTCATACAAGAACAATCTTCTGAGCTAATCTCCTTATCAAGAGGAGGCTAGTGCAGTAATTAGAAGCCTACACTATCAATCATTAAGTTTTTTTTTCAAGCTTTGCTGCATCTATAGGTTTGCCCAGTAAATTTAGTTAATATGTTATTTTCTCAGAACCGGATCTTTCTGTACTGGGAATTGGGGGAATCACAAAGGCTTTTCTGACAGTGTCGTAGTAAAGTTGACCAGGATAAACATGTTCAAGAAACTGTACTGGGTGTGTGACATAGTACCACTAAACTGAAGCATGATTTCAATTGCATTGCAGACATTTTAAACACAGGACCATCCTAGAAGTAACACCAATTCTGTATTGGCAAGACAATGAATGAGTACTGAAATCACCATACAGTAGTAATTCTGTTCTCAAGTAACATGATTTAATCAGATGTGCTTATATATTGTGATGCCTAGGGCTGCTTGAGGCTGTATCTCAAAGTGCTGAAGCTAAATAATTCTTTGAAACTGAAAGGTTTTCTTACAAATAGTCTCAGACCTCTGAGACCTAGTACTGTAATTCATACTAACACCTAAGTGTTATTACTGCAAATGCAAATAAAGTTGTTCTGGTTTGAAATATGAAACGTTTGACAGTTAATTTGGAAGGGGTTTGACTCCAATTCAGTAGATGCATTGGAGTTATACTTTATGCAGTCCGTATGACTGTTGTGGAGACCTGGATTGATTTATGAGAAAATAAGCTGCTTGTATATTGCTAATCTTATGCCAGGAGGCCTTGGGATTTATAGAATGGGTCACAGCCTGATGTTCCAGAGCCCTGTATTAGTTTCCCAAAGCTATAGGCTTGACCTCCAAATCCCCTATGATAGAGAAAATATTGTGAGTAATCATAGTACCTGTATTTAATTGAATTTAGTAATTAAATGTAATTTTTGTCTTGGCATCAACTTCTTCACAAAACCCTCCACCTTGCTTCAGGTTATGATTGTTCTAGTCCGTAGAAGCAGTTTTGATACCTCCTTAGGTTGCTCCTTGGTGCTTGTCTAGAAATTAACCCCTGAGTCATGATCATTAGGTTTAATCCAGGCAAAGTTAAACCTTGATATTCAAAATGTTAAGCTTGTTTTGGACTTCCAAACATGTGAACAATTGATTAGAGCAACTTCTTGGCTTTCCCTTTTCTTTTGTAGATCAGTCGTTCTGTCAGGTTAGACACTAAGCATCAATTTTTCATTATGCTGAATGAAGTACAAGCCATCATTTGAAAAACCACCTCAAATCATGATTTGTGATTCTGTTAAATCATCCTTGATAGTTGCAGTAATGTTCTAGGCTATGACTAAACATCAGTGATGGTTTGGTGTAATATCTCAGGGCAACCTAAATTTAAATACATAAGTAATTGGTTTTGCAATCCTTCTATATACTCTCTAATTCTGTAATTCTAATTCTCTGTACTGTCCTATATATTATCTAACTCTGGCTTTCCTCACTTGTATTAGTCTGTAAAGTGATTTGTACAATGATGGTCCTGTATAAAAAAAAAATCCAGCATATTATGTCAGATTAAGATCTTAAATTGTATTTTAACTTCACAGATTAAAAATGAAAAACTTTATCCAGTTAAATGTTTGCTAATAAAAGATCCCTATTCATATTTCATTGGCATCCAGCCTGTTTCCTTTGGAGAACTCTTTTCATAGACTAATCTGTCACCATCTGCTTTGCCATCTTCTGCAGTCTGATTTGATATTTTCTCTGGTTTACTTTGGTCACTAGTATTTTGGTGACTCTCTGAAGCATTGCTCTGGTTGTTGTAACAACTTTGAGAAAATAAGAGAAAAGAGATTTAGATGGATGAAAGACAAAATTCTGGTTGTGGGTTCTTTGTGTTTTGTGACTTCTTGTTCCTTTTTTGTAAAAAAAAATACTTGAATGCTAAGTAAAATAAACTTATTTATTTATTTATTTATTTATTTATTTATTTATTTATTTATTTATTTATTTGTGGAAACACAAATGAATAATGTAAAATATGAAAGAAATGACTGAAAGTGTGTTAGAGGACCAGAATGGTTTGGGTTGGCTTCTCAGTGGGGCTGAGAATGGGCTTGGCATGTCTGTGAGTGTGCATTGGTCTCACTTGTGGTTAATAGAAACTATCCCTACTGAACTGTTATTGCTTCTTCAAATATTTCTGCCATGATTTTATATATCACCCACACCCCAAACATGAGACTTGAATATTTGGAGCATTGTGTTACTACTTGTTGCTATGGCAGGTGAAATATTTGCAAAGGTCTTTAAGCACTGATGTTTATGTGTGGTCTGGAAGAAGCAAATCTAAAATGAATTTAGTATGATCTTGTAGATACTTCCATATATGATCCATATGAATTTAGGAATGATTCAGGACAAACATACTCCATTTATAATCATACCATTAGTTTTCATTGCTTCTCTTATAGTTATCTTTTTCTTTTTTCTTTTGTCAGACTACCAATTTCTCATGTCTTCACAATGAGACAGGCCTGGGGTCATTTCTTCCCTATACCTCGCAGTTGATAGTTTTAGATGTCGAGGCAATGCTGGCATAGATATGGCAGATAGTGTCAAGATCTTCCTTAATGATCTTATCAGGGTAAGTAGTTCCTTTTATTGTTGCTGTTATAGATGACAGTGCATTTAAGATAAGATTGGATTTCAGAGTGTTTCAGCCACTAACATATATGTTAGCTGTCATCAAGCAAGTCTGTCTTCAGCAGTATGAAGAAGGGAAGTTTCAGGATCCTCCAGGACTATATTCACAACTAGGACAATTTGTGTAATTATCAAGTAAAATCCATCCCAGTTACTAATTCCAACTGTGTGATTGCTTCTCAGCCTTTTGGCTAAGATCAAGTGTAGTATCTGTGTGTGTAACTGTGATCCTTAGTATATGGAAAGAGGGAGTTCCTGAACTCTGATTCCATTATGTTAATGACAAGATGATGTTGGCATTGTTTGTGATGATTACATAATCTTAAAAAAAAAAAACCCAAACCCCATGCATTTCAAAAGGGGAGACAAATCACTTTGAGTTCTAGGGACATTTAATGATTTTATTATAAGTAATTTAGCAGTGAAGGTAGGTAATTCTAATTGATTTATCTTTGCTTAAAAGTGTTAGACTTGGCTAGGAAATCACTGGGTAGTTGCTTAGACATCTCATTTGAGAAAAAGTCAGCAGAAACAAGAAAATCCAAAGCAAATACCTAACTTATTTCAAACATTTGAAGTACCTGGATGGTTGCATTTTGATATTCATTAAGATATCTTTCAAGGTCAGTCTTGAAAATGTGCAGGCAACAGATGTTTAAATTTCAAAAACCCAACAGGGGTACATAATCTATTTTGGGTTAGGGGCCACACTTGGTTTTTGAGTCAAATGCCAGGGTAAACATATACTTCATTTAGTTTCTGGTTTTCACTTAATAATTAATGAAATATGGTTACTATTACAAGCTTTCATTGCTTGCACCAGTTGCAACCCTTTCTATAGCAGGGTTTCTGAAGCTTCAGATGGTCCTCACTTACTGACTGCAGTTAGGACTGGCAACTCCATCGCTAAGTGGTACAGTTGTTAAGTGAAACGTTACATGACCACACCAATTCACAACATCAGTTCCTGTTGCAGCTGTTAAGCGAATCACTGAGGGTTGTTAAATGTGACATCACGTGACTGCAACATGACTTCCTGTCGGCTTCCCCATTGACTTTGCTTGTCAGAAGCCAGCTGTGAAGGTTGCAAAGTGCGATCATGTGACTGAGGGGTGCTGCAACCATCATAAATGTGTGCCAGTTGCCAAGTGCCTAAATTGCGATCACATGACCATGGGGACGCTGTGATGACCGCAACTTCAAGGAACAGCCGTAAGTCTCCCTTTTCAGCACTGTCATAACTTTGAACAGTCACTGAACGAGTGATCGGTAAGTGAGGACTACCTGTAGTCATGATATTGACGCATTTACTATTTATCATTTGTATTCAATATTAAAATAAATGTTCAAAAGGGTTACTGTATCATACATTTTTCATACATATTGGGGATTAGGAATTGTTTGCAGAATTTGAGTTGTGCTAAGGTGAACAAAATTCCTTCAGGTGTATTCAGAATAGCAAGCATCAAAATTGCTACTAGCACCTGTCTTTTCATATCTGTCACAGTAAACTCTTGATTTAACAGACAAAAAAGGCAAGGAGTGTTGGATCTGAATGTATGTTAAACTTTGAATGGGATATTAGTCATGCATAATGAGTATGCAATGTAAGTAAAATATATGAACACTGTCAGGACTTGTCAGCCCTTCCAAGTAGGATAGGTCAGGAAACAGACAAAGCAAGGATTTCGGGAATGCTATTTTACTGCTATAGGGTAAAATAACAGAATCTTGAAAGCCTGCCAGAATATCCTTCTGCCCCCTCCTATACCAAACAGAATCAAGGCAGTTGACTTTGAGTTTCTTTCTCTGATCTTCTTTCTCAGAACTGTTGTCATTTACTTTATGATTTTTGCATTCCTTCAGAATGTAATTTGTTGCTTGGGGCAAAGGTTATTACTGAAATTTCAATAAGATCTGTTATATATAAGATCTGCTAAATTTAGATCCATAAAATTGAAGGTTTTCTGTGCTACCACTTGATAGCAATATGGAAATGTGAATCAGTCACAGCTGTTTGTCTAAAAATGGCAAAGTGAATAAAATCCATTCTTCACATTATACAAAGTGGTAGATGACTAAAATTCTGGATTCTATAAATTGTGCTTTAGAGATTATGGGTGCAACTCTTTTAAATGCAAATATTATACTAGCATATTAAGGTTTGCTAGCCCAAGGTTTCATTCACTCCTCCTCTCTTGTGCTATCTTATTTCATGGAGGGAGATTTTTATTCTATGAGAACACTTAAAGAATGATCCTACCTTACCTCCAAAGCTACAATCCCGAATTCTATCTCATTCTTTGCAGAGAGGCTTTGAACTAATAAGGATATTTTTCTTCTCCTGATTATCTATCTATCTATCTATCTATCTATCTATCTATCTATCTATCTATCTATCTATCTATCTATTATTAAATTTACATGCCGCCCATCTCCCCCAGAGGGTGACCCTGGCAGCTTTATCTTGATGTCAGAGGAAACCAATTAGCTGATTCAGCTGAGACTCATTTTCCCTTTTCCAGGGGAATTTGGAAGTAAAATGGAGGGAGACACATTATCTTCTTTGAACATCTTTCTGGACTTGGCTAATTGTTCTTCAGTTGAATGTAAATTTTAACTATATACACTTCTGTTACTCTTTCTGTTTTTTCCCTTTCATAACATGTATATAGTCTGTTGACTTGTATACTGGGTGTTGAATTTCAATGTTTGTGTCTGTAGGGAATTAAAGATTCCATATGGGGGATCTGCACAATCTCCAAGCTGGATGCTCGGATCCAGCAAAAAAGGGAAGAGCAGCGAAAAAGAAGAGCAAGTAGTGTGCTTGCCCAACGAAGAGCCCAAAGTGAAGAGAGGAAGCAAGAGAAGTGAGTACCAAGCTTGGGAATTGCCTTGTGCCATCAGTAATCATCCATCAGTGTTTTATCATCAAGATGACAGCAAATCCCTAGAAATCCTGTCTTATGGCATGGGCTGTGTACAAACTGGAACAGGCAATCTTTAGTAGGGATTTTTATTTTATATTGGATGGGCTGAATTAAACAAGGAGTTTAAAGTATTCTTTTATGTGGAACTCCCAGCCGGTCTCATTTGAGGGGCTGACTGTGTTCCATGTAGCTGTTTAATTTTATCACCAGAAGCCACTGGATTCTTAATAGGAAGAGACTTGGGATGAAGATTTTAAGATGCTTTTAAACGGATGTTTTATGTATTTATATATATTTATGGTTTTAATGTTTGGCGTGAGTCGCCCAGAGTTCCCCCATTTTTTTTTTTAAATATTTTTTTATTTTTACAACAAACACAAAACATACATGGACAAACAAAACCATAAAAAGGCATAAAAAAAAAGCATCTTCCATTTTATAGCGTGTGTCAACCAGTTACCAACTCGTT